GGGGCTGTGCTCCTGGGGACACACTGTGCTCCTGGGGATGGGGCTGTGCTCCTGGGGATGGGGCTGTGCTCCTGGGGATGGGGCTGTGCTCCTGGGGACACAACATGCTGTGCTTCTGGGGTCCTCTGCTGAGCTGTGGGAGGCCTGAAAATCCTCTCTAATGTGGAACTGAAGAGTTGAGAGTTCCTCCTAGGGAAGAAAACGGCCTCAGGCTTTGATTTTTGAGGCTAGGGAGGTAAATTCTCTTCATCTTCTGGTGTGAGGCGGTGGTGTGGAATTTAGGACAGGTAAACATGAGCCTCTTGGAACAAGGGTACCTTCTTCCCTGGAGGTGGGTGTGTTTCAGGCACATCCCTCACAAAAGCATCCTGCAGGGGTGTGTGGTTCCTGGGGTTCCTCTCACTTGCTGGTGGCACGTGGGTCTGTTTGCAGCTTCATTCCCACAGCAACACAGAGTTGAAAACTTGGTGTAATCCCACTGCTTTGCTCCTTGCCATGCTTGGTGTCTTTGTGTGGGGCAGCACTTTAAAAGTGTGTGACAGATCTTCATTTTCTGATAAAAATGTGAGCTGGACACCTCTTTTGTGTCTTTACTACATGTATATACTCAGAAATGGGTCAGAGCAGGTTTCTGTGTTGTTTTGCAGTGTTGATAAGGAAACTGGTCAAAGTCAGGTCCATTTTGGGTGATCCAATACACTAAGTCCTTTGCTGCATGTCTGAGCAGAGGGGTGGCACTTGCTTGGTGGCTGCAGTGATGTCTTTCGTGTTGAAAGCATGTAACTCAGTTTGGAGACCAGGGTAGCTTCAGAGTGCTGCTCTCTACTGGTTTCAGAATTTTTCTCTTCTGAGAAATGGAAATTAAGCAGCTGTTTGGGCCACAGAGCAGCCTGCCTTGTGATCTGCTCCCCGTGCTCTGTCGTGGAGCAGCAGCAGCAGCAGATGTGCTTCCTGATATCCCTTCAGAGATTAGATCAGTTTAAAACAAAACAAAACAAAAAGCTAAAATCCGTTGTTGGTTTTGATGAAATCACGTGTTTCTGCCTGCTCTGTTGGCAGAGGGTTGATGTTGAAGAGATAAGAAGCAAAACTGCAATGATGAGAAGTAAGAAGCTGTTAAGGCATCATGCTTGGCTGGTGGCAAATCCTTTCTCTTGCTGTCTGTGTGTGTCTAAGTTCCCTCTGCTGTTGGCCAGGCTGTCTCTGAGTGTTTGGTACTGACTGGCAGAGGCAGCCCTGCCTGTGGAAAGCAGGATGAGAGTGTGTGTTTGGTATGTCATTCTCCTGACTGCATCCTGGTTGATTTGTAGGTGTACTGGATTCATCTTCCAGAAAGTTGGGAAGCTGGCAGCAACAGCAGTGGGAGGTGGCTTTTTCCTCCTTCAGGTGTGTATGAAGAGTGGGCCAGGCTTTCTGAGGGCTGTGCTGGTGGGAACAGAGGGCTGCCTAGTGATCAGCACCCGTTGGGACCTGTGGGGCCAGTTCCCTGCTCTGCCAGGAGCTCCGTGTGTCCGTGGATGTGAAGGGTGTGTGTTCCCCAGGGCACATGGATGTGGCAGCAGAGCAGGATCAGTGTGTGTGCACTTCAGGATCAAGCTGGCTACCTGAGGAATCAGGCCAGCACATGTGGGGCTCCCTGTAAAGCACTGGGGAAGAGGAGAGAAAAGGAGATCTCTCCCTGTCCCCAACCATTTCTCCTGGTTTCCAAGAACCCTGGCACTGAGGGGAGCTGCTTGGATGTGGATATCTAGGTCAAACATCCTTCAGGAGGCAGAACAACTCTCAGGCCTTCCTCAGCAGTCTTGTTTGTTTCTCTCTCAGGTGCTGTCTTGTGTGTGAGTCATTCTCCCCACTCTTCTGGCTCTGCTTGTTCTTTTGAAAGCCAAAACCTTGCTCTTAGCAGGGAGAGTTTAACTTCTGAATCATCTTGACCAGATGAAATATTTAGAGATGAGCAGGCTATTAATAGCTGGGTCCACCCATAGCAGCTGAAGAGCTGCAGAGTCCCCATGATAAACATAGCATTTGTGAGGGGGGAGTGATTCCAGCTTTACATGAGAGAAGAGAAGCTGAAACAGGCTGGGCTGCAACTGTGCCCTGCTGTTGGGGGTTGCTGTGGGGAGACAGGGACTGCAGGACACTTCATGCAGCTACAGGGGTGGTCCTGTCCAATTTTTAAGCTAGTGTGCTCATCCTCTCTGCCCACTGGACTGTATGTGGGAGGTGGCTGTGGTCAGAGAAGGTGGGTGGGCAAGGGGGTCTGTTGAATATTGGTCATGCAAGACTTTTTGTCCCTCAAAACTCCAGATTGCAAACCACACGGGATACATCAAAGTGGACTGGAAGCTGGTGGAACGGGACGTGAACAAAGCCAAGCAGCAGCTGAAATTTCACAGCAGTGGTAACAAAATGTCTCCAGAAGTGAAAAGCAGAGTGGATGAGGTGAGACAACTCTCCTAGGGCATGTGCAGGTACTTAGCTGGAGGGACAGCAGAGAATGGGATTAGCTTTTGGGCTAATGTGGATCTTCCACTGTGCAAACACAAGGAGGGAATATTTGCATGACAAACTGGAATGATGGCAAAGCTATCTGTGCATATCTGAGACAGCAAGAGTGGCATGACAGCAGCTCCCCATATGTTGCTGCAAATTCCTTGGGTTTGGGAGCAAACACACAGGGGTTGTAGGGAGAAGTGTCTCTTCTGTCTGACGAGGCAGCTTGGCAGCAGAGTGGCCTAGTGACCCTGTGTTCTGCTGGACCCTGGTCTGACACACACAGTCAGCAGCTCCTTCTGTCAGACTGACTGTGCTGGTTGTGAGAGAGCCCTGAAGACTGTGATCTGGGGCCTGCAGCTCTGTGGATCACTCCAGGAACTGTACAGCAGTGGGGAGATCAGGGAGGGGAGGTCAGTAGGTAGGACACTTTCCCACTCTGGGCAGTGGCCTCTCTCTGAGCATCACTCACCTTGGAGAGCAGCCTGAGGGATTTCCTCTCACAGGAGGGTGGGTGGGTGGGTGACATGCTGTTGGTGAACACTGTTGGTTCTTCTCTCCCCTCCTCAGGTGATCATATTTCTGAAGAAGAATGTTATCCTGACTGGAGGGTTTGCTGGAGGATTCCTGCTTGGAATGGCATCCTAGGAACTGTGCTTGACTCTCCCTTTGTGTCCAGCCTCCTTTGCCCTCCACCACTGCTGTTCTGTTTCACTTAGAATTCACAGGATGTTGCTGACAGGCTCAGTCCCTTCTGCTCACAGGTCCCAGGTGTTATTTTTTACAACACTGCTTCTGATTTCCAACAGTTTCCTCTGTATGGTTTTAGGGTACTGGGATCAGCCTGAAAGCTTGTAACTCCCAGTGTATCACTGCAACTCCTTTCCCCACTAAATATGCCCAGTCCCAGATTTTCTGTTGAGCTGCAATCTCATAAACATCTGGTGGCAGAGAAGACTCCTACATATGCTACTTCCCAGGTGCTCAGGGCTGTTACCTGTTCATTTTTCTGCCAGTGTGTGTGTACAGCAGCTCTTCACTGCTATTTAGCTTGCACCTGTTCTGTCCCAATACCTGGAAAGCCTGTGCTCCCCTCTGCACAGAGATGGGGTGTGCAGTCCAAAATGTGCTTGGCTTTCCTGGGTTGGAAGCAGAAATGTCAAGGGACAGCCTGGGCTGACTGGGACAGGTGGGTAAGGAGCAAGTCAATGCTCTACGTGGTACTGGGGCTTCTCCTGCCCTCCCTCTGCCATTGCACTGCACCTAATGGCCATTTGGCTTCTCTGATGTGATTTATACCCCTGACTGGAACTGCAGCATTGGCACTGCCTGGAAACTGAGCATCTTGGGTGACTCTGCAGGCCCTTTCCTTTCATGTTCTGGAAGTCACTGCAGAGCACCTTCCTGGCTGCTCAGCCTCTGACACCTGCTGAGCTCCAGTCCTGTGTCAGACTTGCAGTGTGCTCCATCTGTGTCAGGCCAGCTGGCACAGGGGGGACGTGTTTCAGCTGTGCCACTTACTGTCAACCACCTTTGGCCTCAGAGTCTGAGGTCTGCCATGACCTTTCTAGGTATCTTTCTAGGTCTGCCATGACCTTCTCTGGTATCTTTGGAGCTGGTGATGTTCTGAGATGTAACCGTGCAGGACAGGATTGTAGGCAGGAGATGCATCCCTGCTGAAGGTACCTTGTACTGGTCCAGGGTCCCTGTTACCAGCTCTAGGGGGGTGGTGATGGGGGAGGATGTGGAATCTGGAATGCAGTCCTTGACCTGCCTCTGCAGAGCACAAACTCAATCTCTCTGGTCTCTGCAAGCAAAAGACATTACAATACTTGGGAAAACCAGGTTGGGCTCTTCTGGGAGTGGCTCCTTTCCCTGCTTCCTCTCTTGGTTATTTTCCTTCCTTCTTCACATTTAGCATTTCCACCAAAAAAACCCACAAAACAAAAGATAGTTGCTTAATTCCATCAGATGGAAGCAGCCCTTCTCCTACAGGTGAGGAGGCAGTCCAGGTGCAGAGCTCAGCTGGTTTTGGACAGTGTCCCAGTGCAGATGTGTGCAGAGCAGAACTCTAACCTAGGAGAGAAAATTATATTTAAAAAAATCATCCCTTTGAATTGTTCTGCATTGGCTGTGCCAGGCTGGCATGACAGCTTTCCAGAGTGTGAGGACATGACAGCAGGGTGGTTTCCTCCAGCAGGTACATGTAGGAGTTCTTACCAATAATGTGGGATTTTATGTGGAAGTCAGCCCATCCTTCCCTGGGACATATTCTAGGGAGTGATGGGGGGTGTGGGTGAGGCAGCACCTGGCTCAGTGGCTGCACTGCATCTGCAGAGCTGGATGGTGCCTTCCTAGTCATCCACACCTGCCCTCTGTGTGGCTGGAAGTGGGATCTTCCTCCAAGAGCTGCTGGAAGAGCTGGCATAGTGGGTTCTTCCAGCAGAGGTTTTGGGATGAGCACTTGCAGTTGTTAATTGTGTTTCAGTTTTGTTGATTGAAGTGTGAGTGTGGCAACACCTTGATTTAGCTGAGGTTTTCTCACCTTCAGGATCTGAGAAGAGACTGCAGGAGAAACAGGAATCGGTATCTTTGCTCCTGCCCTGCCTTTAGTGGCCAAGGAGATTAAAGGAGCCCTGGGCTCACATCCTTTTAATGATGGTCTTCCTAAAAGCCATGCAGAGCTGCAGCAGTGATGTGGTGCAGCAACTGGGTCTTCATTAAATTGGTGTTTGGGAGTGCAGTGACAGATGGTGGTGGTGGCTTTGGGTTGTTTTGGTTTTTTGTAGGAACCTTGCAGGGCTGATGGTGCATGAATTGATGTGTTTGCATTGCAGGATATCTCTTGCTCCTGTAGGAAAAAGTGTTGCTGCCCCTCTGCCTGGTGCTGCAAAGCACAGCTTCTTCTGAGATGCACTAATCTCCACAAAGCTTTCTCCAACGACAAAGCTCAAAGTAAAACCATTAACAGACCTTAGGGATGTTTTTCAGGCTCAAATAAATTATTTCTGCCCAGCCCTGGCAAAGGATGCAGTGAGTTCTGCTCCACAGCGTCCAGCCTTCCTGCTGTGGAGAGAAACGGCCCAGAGAGGGAGCTAAAATGCCTCAATTGCTGCTGGAAGGGGAAACGAGTAACAAGAGTGGACAAGGAGATCGGGCTCAGGCTGATCTCTCTGCTGTGCCACGGTTGGGCTCTGGGCCCGTTGGATGCTCTGGTCCCACACGGGAAGCACTGATGCTGAACCAGCCTCTTGTGGGATGCTTTGTCAGTGTTGCAGGTGCCAAGGTGAGCTGCTCCCCCTCTCCTCACCCCTGCTCCTCTTGGTCTTGTTTCATCAACCTCTGGTGTCTGTTGCAGTATGAGAAGGTTTAAAACACAGTAGGCTTTTCAAGTGTTTTTATATATTGTATGTAAATGCTTGTTGAAGTGATATTTTATTAAACAGTTTTGCTCTAATAGCTTCTGTGTGTGAGGTCTGTTGACTTGCTGGGAAACCAGTGTGGTTTTCTCTTACCCTGTGTATTGTGTTTGGCTCACAGGAGCAGTTACAGCCAGTCTGATAGCATGAGGCTCCAGCTTCCCCTCCTCTGCAGATGGCTGTGGGCAGATGATCAGTCTCTCTCCTTTATGATCCAGTTATCCCATGTTCCCAAAAGGTGGGGTGCTTCTGAGGCAGGAGGCGATGATGCTGCGGTTTGCTCCACTCCAGCAGAAATGGGCACAGAGATGAGGCCTTTCTTTTGGCCTAAATACTTATTTTTAATCATCTGTTGGTGACTTTCTTTCCACTACTCCCTCTTGTATTGGGCAAAAGAGAAAAATGAACTACTTGTTAAGAGTTAGAGCTGTTTTACAACATTGTTACCACTCTCCCCTACTTTTCAGGAATAGAACCCCTCTTTTGTCTTGAGTTGGGTTTTTTGGGGGGGCAGGAGTGGAAGGCTAGCTCTGAATTATTCTGATCTCAAGTCCCAGGTACAAAAACAGAAGCAGCTTCTATTTAATCATGATGATACCACGTGTAGCTCTGGCCTGTGAGCTTGCAGCCCTGTGGTGCTCTCAATAAACCACCAAACTGAGACATCAGTTTGTTCCAGTAATTTATTTTGTACCACGGTATTTCAGAGTAGTGAGTACAGATGGTTTTGCTCCTTTAGGCTTCAATACACTTAACTATAGTGCCTAGACTACAGTGGTCTGTTTATAGAAGCTGTTATTTCTTAAGTAGGTTGTAGTTGATCACAGCACAAAAGTCCTTTACGGCTAGATCTAACGACAGAGTTAGGGGCCTAGTGGGTGTGAAGTCTGGTTCTTGGGTGCCTGGGCCCTGCAGTGGACCTGGCACCCACTGAGGTGCCTGGAGTCCTGCTAGAGGGGACAGGGAGACTTGGGAAGCTCCAAAGGGTGATGCAGGAACCTGTCTACCGAGCTCCTCCTACAGGTCACAGGACATTCTGCCGCACGGGTGGGAGCTTCTGAAAAGCCACCTCTCCCCGAGGGTCCAGACACAGCCGGCTTGTGAGTGAGACTGGAATGCGGTGTTGAAACCAAGTGCCTGCAACTGCTTGTCCAGTAAGTGGCACCTAAATCAGTTCCTGGATCTAGCCCAGGGCTTTGTGACAGGCCTCTGGGTACCAGCAGGTACCCACACTGGGTCCTTAACATATTGCTTAAAGGTTTTTCAATCCTATCTAAATTGGTAACTTTTATATCAACAGTCAGATCTTTCAAAGAAATATTGCTCTTTTTTAAAAAAAATAATCATCATCTTATTTCTGTAGCAATCCCTGAAATCATGTTCTTGTAACATCTTTGTCATGCAAATAGCAGCGTGTAGGCAATTCTAACAGAAGGTAACTAAGAGTCTGCCCAGTGGGAAAGTGAGGCACTTGAGCAAAGTGACCTGTAGTCACTTGTGATCTATGCAAGATCTAGGAACACTCTTCCCAGACCTGATTCCCATTCTTGAGCTTGAACCACTGGACAGGAAAATGTTGTCTGGAATTACTGCATGATGGCAGCAATACCTCTGCTGTGTCAAGATGGGCTTGTTTCATGTGTCATGCTTGAACTCACTCTTCTGAGCTCACTTCCTGTACCTCCAGAAGCCAGAATAACTTGGTTCCAGTTCTCCATTTTGAGAGCAAGGATGGACTAGAGTAAGGTAAGCATTCTGAAAACATCAAGTTGACTTTTCACAGACACAGGTACAATGCAAAGACATTAGACCATAGATGGTGTTTTGGTACAGAAAATCAAGTCTGTTAACTAGGCAATATGTTGGTAGTATGTTATACTTTTTGGTGTGCTGGAAGGTGTGTTCTAGGAGCAATCTGGCTTTCCTGAAAGTCTAAAGGCTTGGGAAAAAACACACACACAAGTTCTGCAAATTAGTCCATGCTCCAGCACCTGCTGGAGCACCTGTGTTACTGAGGTGGTGGGGGAATTCCTTCTGAAATCACCTTCAGGTTTTGTCTCTCCCTTTCTTCTTTCTCAAACCCTGAACAACAGATGGATCTGCCCCTGGGGTAGCGGGCGCAGCACTTCCGCATCTCCTGCAGCAGGGCTTCACACCTGGACTCCATGTAGTTGTTCACTGGAAAATAAGAAGGAGACACCAAGTCTGCTGAGGAGAACAGGCTTTGTCCCCAGAAGGGACACATCTAGCTCAGCCCTTCAGCTGCAGAGCAGCTTCTTTCTCTGAAAAGCAACAACTGCCTCCGCTCATTTCCTCACTTTCATTTTCCTCACTTCAGTCTCAGCAACCCAAGCCATGCCAAGGCAGCCTTGCTATTGTGGATGGGAGCATCTTCAGTCCCCCCATTTTGTAGTTATCACTTCTCACTGCAGTAAGAATGAGGTTTCACTTACTGCTGCCTTTCAGGCTTTACTTTCTTTAGCCTGTCTGCTTTTCAGCTGGATCACGCCATCCATGGTCTTCACCCCAGCTGCCATGTCACTCTAAGGTTTACAGCTAAGTGTACATATAAGAGCATCCAAAGAGGACTTGGTATGAGCAGGGACATTTACACCCTTCAGCACTGCCAGGTTTGTACAGGGAAGGGGGGGAACATGCCAGGCAGCCTCCTCTAGGCCTGTGCTGGGCAGGGTAACAGAAACAGGCAGCATGTGAGCAGCAGGCCTTAGCCAGACCCAGCAGCCACATCCAGTTGCACAGAGACAGCAATAGGACCACCTTCCACACAAAGGTCCCACCTCTAGCTCAGCAGATCACTTAGGCACAGAGATTACTTGACTTCCTTGCACTTTCCTTCCTAGGCTCCTCCTCTTGTACAGTGCCAGAGCTGGGACACGGGGCTAAACGAGCTCCTGGTCTGACCTGGGATGACTGGGCTCACGTCACTGTACACGGCACAGCTTGGTCACCTCTGCACTTCCTCAGCCTGCCTTTGTTTCAGGCTCAGAGACACCGCCCTGCACTGGCAGCTTCAGGCACCGCAGGACACGGGTGGGTTTCCAGCGTCCTTTCTGCCCTAGTGCTCTGCTGGCTGCCCCTGTGGGCTAAGGTGGCAAAGCCCACAGTGATTTGCAGAGGTGGCCACCAGGACCTTGGAGAGAATCACAGAATCTTAGGGGTTGGACGGGACCTCGAAAGATCATCTAGTCCAACCCCCCTGCCAAAATATTTTAAAAATATTTCCCTCTGCAAGTAACAATCCTGCTCTCCCCAGCTCATGCTCCTGAAACACATCATCACAAAACCTCCCTTGCCTCTCTAAATATTTAGCTGATCTAATACAAAACAGCTGTTCAAGGTCTCCAGGAGACCACCTAATATCTTGAGGCCAGACCACATACACCCAGCCCATTCCTGACAGAGATCTGCCTCACCTGCTCTTAAAATACCCCTGGAGCTGGAAGCTCAGCAGTCTTCTCATACAATCCACCCACTCCCTCCCTACCCACTCTGTCAGAGAGCTTAGTATAATGTCTAGCTCTTCCCACCTACAGCTGTGTCCCAAGACTACCCTTGGGATCTCACTTCCAGCATGGAGAACACCCTGAAACCAGCACATTACTGTTACAAAGGCTGCTTTGCACTAAGGTTATCTTGGCATTTACAATCAAGCACAAGGGAATTTCAGTAAAACCAGACATTATCCTTGTGTTTGTTTTGCACGCAGGGGATGCCTGTGTGCTTGCTTGCTTCCTTCTGAAGGGGGAAGGAGAACAGAATTAAGATCAAACAGTTAAGTTCCACCAAAAAATCAAGACACCAGAAAGACAAAATTACACTTGGTACCTTGCAAGCATTTCTGTATTTCACAGGCTTGTTTCTGGCAGGGATCCTTCTGGGACATGTTCAGAGACTAAAACGATAGGAAAATGTTACTGTAGAAACAATGTGGTTTATAGGAGGTAGGGGGGCAAGGCAATATCTTACAGTCAAGGCCTTAAAGAGCTCCCTCTCTGCCACAATTCAGCAAACATCTACTGCTGCCTGCAGGTGCCAGCCAACATCCACCCCAGTTCTCTGTGTCTGCCTAAGGGATGATCACGTGGACAATGGATATGGGAAGTTTTACATTGCTAGGCTTGAAGGCCTTTTTCATTCCTCAGGTCAAAAGGTGTCCTTTTCCACTTGGCTGCACAAAGATTCCAGTAATGATTCAAATTAACACAGCTGACTAGATGTCAACAGTTCTGTGCCTCTAGATGTTACACTAAGACAGGTATTTGGGGAAACACCCTCTCCCTGAGCTCCACACAACCAAGGATATGCTGTTACTCACACAACTGCAGCTTGAGGAGGCATTTACAGAACCAACCAAGCAAAACAACTTAGTTGTGTATGTCCCATAAAGACAACAAGGAGGGCTGTTTGTTCCAGGGAAGTCTCTTGAAGTCCCTCTCCAAAAAAAAACCCCAACAAAACCCTGGCTGGATCAAATCCATCTTGTTCAAATCCCTAGAAAATGATTTCAGACACTCAGCTTGGCTTTCTGCAGCTGTGACACCTGTAACTGTGATCTGTGAGAGACCAAAAGATGAGAAAAACTCGTAGTACTGGTAGTGGGATGGGAGACCTCTGCAGAAAAGCACCACTGCTACTGGAACAGTGGTGGGACTTCAGCTCCTTCTGAGCTAGAGTTCAGCTCCTGCCCTGCCCTGCCCAGAGAGCTCCTGCCTTTCTCTTTTCTGACAATTCACCAGCCCACACCACTTCTCAGTATGGCTAGGGCATTATTTCCAGCATCCTGGCCAAACTCCACTTGGGGCAATTACATTCTGTCCACCTAGAACTCCCCCTGATGTTTCACTTGGACACAACACTTCACTGCCTGTCCTAAACTCTTGTGTCATGTCACTGTGTTCACTGCTTCCACCTCAGAGGTGGCTGCATTTCAATGGAGACAGAACCATTTATTGTACAAAATACACAACACCTTCCTAGAGCCACTGCTCCTGAAAGACAAAAATTACATATTTAAGAATTACTGGGAATAAACAGAGCACAGTACAAAGCAGGGGTAATGTCTACACATACCAGATTAATCACCAGGCACGAGTTTAAGCAGCAGTTCTTCAACACCACCAAGCTGTAAGTGACAAGGAAAAGTTCAATACGTCTACAGTTACTGTGGCTGAGCTAATGGACTTCAACAAAACAACAGTCCTTTGCCGTCCCTCAGGGAGCTCAAACGACTTCACAAACAGGCATGACTATGGCCTATTGTTGCCACCATCCTTACCATGAGGTGGTGCTCTATCTCCCAAACGCGAGAGTTACTATCCCTGTACTGCTCACCCTGGGACAGCTGCCACATATGAGGCAGCCGGGATGGGGGGAGCTGGCTGGGTCGCAGCGCCTCACCCAGGGGAACCTGAACTCTTTGGATCCGAGCCCTCAGCATACCTTCCTCCTGGGGGAAAGTAACAAAAAGAGCAGGCAGTTACTGGCAATGCAGTAGAGGCACCTACGCACCCAGAGCCGGACAGGAGGAGCCCCAGGGTGCCCTCCTTCTGCCATCCCCTCAGGCACTTCAGGATGCTCCCTCAGCTGGGTGGGATCAGCCGGCAGGATGCACACATGGTCTCTTTAGCTCTGAGTACATTGACGGAGAAAGCTCTCGGACCTGGAAGGCACCTCTGGGTGACGTCTGACTTACTGTCTGAGGTGCTATGTGCTGCAGTGTCCCTAAAAGTCAGGCTGGGAAGCTAAGGTGGTGCCTAAGTGGACGGGAACTTCATGGCAAGGGGTACACTGGGACATGCTGGAGGGTGTTTGTAAGGCATTCTGTGGCAAAAGGTGCTACTGGGGCAAAGTTAAACCCTGTCAACATTGGCTTTGCTTATTCCACTAACAATCCTAGTAACAGTCTTGGTGTGAAACTGGGGGGTGGGGGGAAAAGAAAGTGGTTTACACAGGAGTTCCGTGGCTAAGGATGGTTCTAGATCCCAAAAGGAAAACTTGTGACAGGAGGTGAAATGAGCTTAACAAGAACGAAGATCAGTCTGGAGACAAAGGGTGAATCTCCGTCCGCAGGAGCGCGTGGAGCGGTCATGGTGACGGGTCCTTGGTCTCATCTCTCAAGAGGATGGCAGCCTGGTCCATTCCCACACCAGCTTCTCATGGATGGCTTTCCTGCCTTTGGGTCGTTCAGCTTTTAGATGGTTACCAAGAGCCACCGATAGCAGCAAGGGCAAAGGAATTTTGGACATGGAGGTGGTTCTTCCTACTGGAATTTTTGTGTACCGGCAAGTTTACCCCAGTTAGAGCCAGCGGGGCCATGAGCAAATGGAGGTCAGGGGGAATGATTCTCTCTTTGGACCCTAGAAGAAGTAATCAAAATGGCACAGACAGTCTTCATCCTTGATCTAGGTTTAAAGTAGAACAGAATTAAGCTGTGACACAAGACATAAACATCCTCCTGCTACGAAGCAGCTGCAATATTCCTATCCCAGGGAAAACACAGGGGTCTTCTGAAAACTTGGAAAGTTAGAGGGCATCATTCAAACAGGAGCAAGAAAATCTGGGTGAAAAACAAAGCAGGAGAAGTCAGGGAGAGAAAAAAAAACCTGTTATACATGGGGGGACATAAATAACAGAAAACACATTCCCATGTTGCTCTGTTCTACATCAGTGCTTCTTCACTTTTTTGGAGCAAAGGATCAGTTTGAAACCAAACCACCAACCACTGGCACAGTCATTTCTAGCACAGAAAACTTTCAATGTGCTGTTATTATTTCTTTTTTTTTTTTTTTTTTTTCTCCCACTTTCTGCTTTCTTGCTTGATGCCTGGGAATGTGTCTGTGCATTCCAAAAAAAAACAAACAACAAAGCTCCACTACTCCAAAGACCATCCTGTGATGTGACACAGCCATCCCAACCAGCACCCCAGCCTCGGGTCACTGGCAGTTAGAGGAAGGTGACAGCAGACTGACAAGCCTCACAAGACCTCAGAGAACATGCTACGAGGGTTAAAGGGACATTTCTCTACGTATTTTTCATCCTGCTTTACCCTAAAATCACTTTTTCCAACAGTGCAATGCAGCAGTTGCCACTGCTCCCTTCCAGTCAGCTGAATGTAATCACCCAGGTTGGAATTTGGCCAGGATACTCCCCTCCTCTGCAACAAACTGCCAAAAGCTCCAGCATGACCCAAAATGCTCAAGAACTTGCTTTCCTACCCCACTCAAAGCTGGAATTTCTACAGCTCATCAGCCCCAGAAGGCTTAAGACTTGACTTCAGTGCTGGAAAAGTACTTCTCAGTGAGTGAAAGCAATTTCCTGCACCAAGTGAACTCCCCCTGGAAGGTTCTCTCTCCTAACCTGGTTCAGGCTTGCTGACCTAGACAGAGGGGGACTGAAGTGTGACATGTGTGTGTTTACTGAGCATGGACATGGCAGCAATGACAGACACAGGGTCACAGGGCTCCTACAGAGGACCCTGCATCACAGATAGCAGTTCCTGTCACCCTTTACCCCAAACTTCCTCCAAACTCCACAGCTCTGAGCTCAGTTGCCCAAGTTCAAAGGCCTCTCTTTTTAGCAGCCCCTAAGGCTGTTAAAGGTGCCCAGTTAGTACCACAAATAAAAACCTGAAGCCAGGCAAAACCAACTGGGCTTGAGGCAGGGCAGGGCTGCCTGCAGTGCTCACACCAAAGAAACAGGTTTTAAAAAAACATTATCTTAGGCACCTGCACCTGAAACTTCAAGAATGGAAAACTTACCCAAGACCTATTTTTGCAGGTTTTGTCAGAAAGCACTAAAAATCCTGAAGGAAGAGCTGGGTGAAAGGAGAAGCCAGCTAACTTCTGTGTAGAAGAAGCTGTAAAACCTGCTCCTTACATTGTTTGCCTCCTAATCTATCAAAAGCACCAACTCATCCAACAAAAACCAAATCAGCTTAAATTTACAGAACTGCAGCATCATCCTTTGACAGAGATGTTAAGGTTGCCATCAACAGGATTGCAAAAGTCTGAGCTGTTTAAGATAGTCATCTGGAGAGACTTAAAGCCCAGTTCCCACAGACAGGATCAAGGCTTGCAGGTATTCATTCTGCTTATCTCAGCACCAGACCTGAGAAATTTAATGCTGTTCTGGGACCTGGGTGGATTTCTGAGTCATACAATATAGGAAGAAATGTGAATAGGGCCAGAAGGAGGATTGCAAGTTGTGGTGAAGACAATTTATTTGCTTTTAAATTTGGTACATTAATTTATTTTATGAAAAGAGTTGAAAGAAATTGCTCCAGCTGCCACTTGGACCATCCCCAGAGCTGGAGCTGAACAAACTCCAGCCTTTGTTACCTTCTGCTTTAAAAGGGGACTAGGTCAGATTGTTAGAAGAGTTCAGCTGCCATTTAGGTGCCAAGGAAAACAAGCAGTGGTGAGGCTCAGTGAACTGGGCACAGCTGGCCAGGTGACCCTCTGGGACAGGGTGCAGCTGCCTGCCCACCTCTGTGTGCACAGCCCTCGGGGAGCTGAGCCCTCCTGAAACACCCAGCCTGCATCTAGCAACAAGTCAGGGATCAAACGAGCTGTCTGCCGAGGGAACAGCACCTTGACTCACTCTAGAAAGCTTCTTTCTCGGAGGTTTGGGCTCTACTCTGCCTGGAGCACCGGCCCCACACCAGCTGTGCCCAACCCACGGAGGGGTAGCAGATGCTCACCGACCAGCCGGGGCTGTCCAGCCGCGTGGCGAGGGAAGCTCCAGCTTTGGTAGGATCTGAAGAGACAGGGAGACAAGAAGAAAGGGACGTGGTGCTGAGCGAGCCCCGCAGGAGGGAGGGGGTGCGGGGGGAGCCGGGCCTGGGGAGGGGC